TTGGCTAAGCACAAATTAAGCCTAACGGCTATATTTCTTCAAGGAGCCAGCTCTCTTTATTTCCTACTTAATTTTGTGCATTTTTGTTTCCTTTTGAGTTATTAGAACGTTGTACTAGTCCCTAGTGTCGAGCCTATATAAGCTCAAGTCATTTCATCTTTGTATTCAACCCTTGATCATACATTAATACAAAAGTATTATTTTCTTTTCAAAGACTAGTCTTCATTGAGTTACTTTTCATTTGAGTTTAGTGTGTGATACACCATCCTCTAGTGAAGCCACAAATCTGTTTGTTGTGTGATTCAACAGATTGTTTTCGTCCCATTGATTGAGTGAGTCAGTCACTTCCTCGTCCATCTCTACCATCATTTCCACCTTCCGTAAGTTTAAGCTTGGAATCTCTTGATCATTGAGCGATGTTAAGTTGGAGTGATTCCAATCTTATATCAATTTGTTTGATTGTCTTGTACTCCACCATAAGTGGGAAATTGCTCCATTAAGCTTCTTCAAAATAGATTTCGGAAGAAGGAAGCATGACATAACATAAGTAGGCAGCGCCTGTGCTACTGAATTAATTAAAACTTTCTTCCCTCCCTTTGAGAGAAGTTTTGAGGACCAGGCATTGATCCTTTTGAGGCGGTCTTGAATTGATATAAGATCAAGGGGGTATGATCTTATAATTGACAGGTGAATGGATGGAAACAAGCAGCTGGACTGAAGTCTATTTCTACTTGCTCAAAGGATGATCGAAGTGGATGGTGATGGGATCAATCTGCTGGACTGAAGTCTCTTTCAGGCTTGATCAGTGGATGAAATGGAAGAATGGGGGAATGATGGACGCCACTCAGCTTTATGGAATAAGCAGAGGTATGTCTAGAACTCAAGAGAAAGGTTTCTCACACAATCTCAAAGAACTCTGATTTGTTTGCAATTCTGTAAGAACAACAAAAAGGATTTTTCTTATCAATCAAGTGTGAAAAATACATAGCTGAAGGAACCTTATATATGGTTCAAACAGCTGAGAGCTTTCTTGGCCAATTTATTACAAGAAATTAATGCAAGAATCAAAATGAAAAATCTAAGAAAAAATCAAAGCAATAATACAAAAGTTCATAAATAAAAAAATTGCTAATTTTAAAGAATTAGCTGTTGAGATCAAACAAAGATAAGAACAAGGGATTAGTCAAAATATGATATAAATGATTCAAAGACTTACCTTGATTTGCTGTGGGCGGATTGATAGATTTGGAAGTCCGGTTTGATCTCTCCTTGGCTCTGATTTAGCTCGGTTTGATAGAAAACAAGGTGGTTCCTTGATTGGATGATATAACCGGCCATGCTTCTTCATATGAGTTAAATTCGATGTATGGACCGTCCTGTTAGTGTGCATTATGAACTTGAGTGATGTGGTCTTCAAGTGTCTCATGTGAAGCATCCTTTGAAGTGATGGCGAGTTTGTCAAGTTGGTACGTTATTTCTTCAAGTGCTTGTTGGCTCATTAGACTGTCTACGGTTTGGTTATACTCTTCTTGAAGTCTCTTTGTACCAGCTCTTGTCCTTGGTGGAAACCTCATGGCGGGAATTGCATCTTCAGGTTTGATGTCCGCATCATGAATGAATGCAAAAACTTGCTTCTTTGATCAACAAATTTCCTCTGGTAGTCCTAAATAAACTCCCATACCACCTTCTTTTGTGTATTCCTAAAAGTGTTTTTGATCTCAGTTTTGCATTTTGTCCCTACCTTACTCCCGAATAATACAGATGATTTGGACCAGTTTAGCTTTTGCCCTGAAGCTTTACCATAATCCTCTATTATCTTAATGCTTTACCATAATCCTCTATTATATTAATAAGTTCAGCACATTCTGTTTTATCTGCCTTACAGAAGAACAAACAATCATACGCGAATAGGAGATGAGATATACTTGGACATGTTCTGGCGATTTTCAGGCCTGTAATCCGCCCTTCTTCTTCTGCTCCTCTTATCTTTACGATGGGTGCGTCCGTGAGTATAATAAACAGAAAGGGAGATAGGGGATCCCCTTGTCTCGAACCTCTCGTTGATATAATATTCCATTTTGCTTTCCTGTTAAGCAGCACTTTGTATGTTACAGACGAGATGCACCATTTAATCCATGTTAATCATTTTCTGCAAAGACTATTTTTAGCTTCAAGGCCTCTAGACACGTCTACTCAACTTGATCGTAGGTTTTAGTCATGTCTGTTTTGATAGCTACAATTTTGCCTTTGCACATCTGATTCGTTCGTAAGGCATGGAAGGCTTCTTGCGCCATTAATATATTGTATGTGATTAGACGTCGAGCCAGAAATGCTGATTGAGTCTTCGAAATTAATTTCGGGATGATTTTTTTCAAGTCGTGTGCTTAAGATCTTTGAGATAATATTGTAGCAAACATTATAGAGACTGATGGGTCTGAACTAGGACATTTCAGTTGGTCTATTGGTCTTTGGTATCAAGCATATATCCGTTTGGTTTAATTGTGGGTTGAAACTATCCTGCTCAAAAAAATCATGCATCATCCTGATTATATCTCTCGAGAGGACCTCCCAGAACCGCCTAAAAAAGAGACTTGTCATGCCATCCAGGCCTGGGGCCTTTTCTGGATTTATTGCAAAGAGGGCTTTCTTTATCTCCGCCTCTGATGGTTTGCATGTCAGCTTCTCATTGGTAGATGGAGTAACTTGCGCGGTAACGTACCGGAGGTTTTCCTCAAAATTTTGTGGCTGAGTTGTAGTAAAGAGATTTTTAAAGTAATCTATAGCAACTTTCTCTGTACCTTGCTCATTTTTGACCCATACTCCATTGCTGTTTTTTAGTTTAATGATCTGGTTCCTTGCCCTTCTCTGTTTAACGGTAGCGTGGAAGAACTTTGTATTCTTGTCCTCTTCTTTTAGCCAACATGCCCAACTTTTTTTCTTCTAAAAGAGTTCTTCCTCTCGAAAAGCGCTACAGAGATTATATTTTAGGGTAAGAAGCTCGTCATTTGTAACCTCGTCATTGTCCTGAGCTACCTCTAGCTTTGCCTTGATATCTTCGATCTTTTTAATTGTGCTGGACGGGTTTAGACGTCTCCAGATAGATATGACTTTCCAACAGTTGCCTATCCTTGAATATATGTTGTTCCCTTCCGTAAGGCCTAAGGATCCTCATCCCTCAATAATGGCCTCTATCAAGCCTTCCTTTTCCAGCCATCTCTTGTCAAATTTGAAGTTATTTTTCACCCGTCCTTTTTTGGATTGGATACGGGCTAAGATGGGGCGATGGTCAGACCCCCATAGCTTTAGGTACTCCACAACCGTATGAGAAAAGTCATGATGCCGCTCTACATTTCCGAGGGCTCTGTCTAATTTGCATCAAACCCGACCACTTCTACGATTTTCCATCCATGAAAATGTATTTTCTTTGGCGGGAAATTCCATCATTCCACAATCGTCCAGCAACGTATTAAAAGGGATAAAAGACGCGTTTGAACGTTTTCGTCACCCTAGCTTCTCATGGTGGCCTGTGATCTCGTTTAAGTCTCTTATCATAAACCAGTCTCCTGATCTCGGGGTACTTAAACGTCTCAGTCTTTCCCACACCAGCGCTCAGTACTTTGGGACCAGATCTCCATATACAAATGTCACAAAGACTTTTTCTACTCTACAACTGCCTCGATGTCTATCAGACGATCATTTGAGAACAGGATTTAACATCAAAAACATCCATATAAAACAAAGCAAGTCCCCCGCTTGTACGTTCCGGTTCCACGGTGAACAATTTATTGTAACCAAAATAAATTTGAAATTCTTGCATAAAAGAGAAATTACTTTTTGTTTCTGAAAGAGAAAGAAAAGCAGCAGGTGAAAAACAGCGGTGCAGCTCTCTAAGGTGTTGTTTGATAAGATAAATTCATGCACCTTGACAATTGCATGCTATTGTGTTCATATCTTCTTACTGGGTGATTTCTGGGACACCAACGAACCTGAAACAGCAACGGTCTTCTTGCTTAGAGCAGAAGGAAACACCTTATGGCGAGGAACAGATGATTTATGAGAGGGAAGCGTATTGTTACCGAGTCCCTGTCTTTTCTTTGGTGATGCACGTCCTCTCTAGCCCTGGATAGTCTTGGACGCACCCCCCCCCCCCCCCTAGCTTTTGGACTATGCAGCACTTGTCGTTTACTTCCTTATCAAATCCCCGTGTGTTTCCCAGTTTGTTTCTTCAGTTTTCCACCTGAACGGGCATATGGATATCCTCGTGTTGTTTTCTACTCTTGCCAGCCTTCTTTTGGATTGGTGACGATGACTGAGTAAGCTGCGATATTGCATCAATTTTCTCAGCCTTCTTGTTGACTTCTTCTCCCAACAGATCATCGTTTTCCAGCTCTTCTTCATTCATGACATATTGGTTTTCATCCCATACCATCCTATCGAATTCTTCAAGCTCTTATCGGTCATTAAAGTTGTTGGGGTCAGGTCGTCACCTAGCTCATCTGAATCAGTTTCTTCGTCAATTTCCATTGCTTGGAATTAATCAGATTCTTCATCGTTTTCTCTGGCTGCCTCGCTGAGGTTGGAGTTTCGAAATTTCCAGGTTCTTTTATCGTTAGGGTACCCGTTTCTTCAAATATACATATTGAACAATTTTGTCATTTTTGGAGTTTGCTTCTACAACGTGAGCTTTGCCTTTTACCCTCCTTTATATCTCCTCCTCTGTTTCCAGCAGAGTTTTATCTACCTCAGTTTCCTTTCAAATCATGCTAATATTTAAACCGGCAATGTGATCCGAGATGGTTCTCTATGAGTCCGACATCTCTTTCTGATGCTCTGTTGTCCGTTGTGTACTTTGTCGAGATGTGTCTCTACGTGGGGATGTGTCGAGACACTTCTTCATCTCTATTATCCTTTTGTCTTGGTCTCCATAAAGGTTTTTGTTTATCGACATCATGTCTCCTTGGGTGCTGCACAAACCTAGATTTTGGATATCATTCATTGGACTAGCGAAGTCGCGGAAAATAGCTCACATAAGGCTCGTTAATCCTGTTCCAAACATCCTTGTTTTGGGCTAGTCTCTTACCTCTGAGATTCATCCATAGATCCCTTTCTTTACTCCATTCTGAAGATGAAAGGTATAGATTATTATTTATATTCTGATTATCAGCAAGTCTCTCTTATTCATTCTCACGCCACACTTCTCGGATAGCCCCCGAGTTTAATTTCCCCAGTTTGCTAGGATGCGAATCAGACCTCCTTCTCTCGGGGCTGAAGTTTTCCCCTGTTTCTCTGAAACCATTTCTTGACTGAGACTGTTGATACTGATTCTCATATTCCTCCCAAACTGGGGATTTCATTCGCATTAGTGAATCCTTTGCATCTTTCTGGAACAGCATCGAGTCTCTTTTCCCTTTTGGGTCCTCTCCCAGCTTGTTGTAGCTCTGCTTCTCCTCTGCAGGCACCTCTGGGCATGAGCTAGTTTCATGTGAGATGCGCTTACATTTGAAGCAAAACCGTTGCAGTCCCTCATATTTGAATTCAATCTTGCCAACATTACCATTCAAGAATCCCACTCTTCTTTCAAACTGTAAGGGCTCATTTACATTAATGAAAACTTGCAAATGTGCCTTCTCGGCATCCGTTTTGAGTACATGTCCCAAAGCTTTGCCAATAGCCTTGAAAATGTCATCATTTTAGTAATGCACGGGGACTCCTGTAACTCGCATCAAAAATGGCATCGTGAATGGAAAATCCTTTTGTGTTGAGGGTTCCCATCCCTCGAGTGCAAAACTCCAGCGATTAAAATGACAAAGGCGATTTGCTAAGACTTTCACCAGATCTTCCTCCTTATCAATGTCAAATTGGAATCTGCCATTGCTAAGGTTTGTACCCTTAACTCTTCCCTCCATATCCCAGATCCGAGCACTTGGTAGTTGCGTCAGTAAAGCCTCCATACTTCTCCCATCACGGTAAAACATGCGACCAATGATGGTCCTCTTGAAACGCTCTATCACTGCCACCAGATCGCACCCCGGGATCTTGATGATGTCATCTTCCGAAAACTCTAGGCGTCTCCTTGTTTGGGCTTATTCTTTCAGAAAGCAAAAAGTTTGTACCGGTTCCCTTGGACCTTCTTCTCCCACACTCTATCAATCATAACGTAGCACAAGGCTAGAGATTTATATTGTTAACCAGACACTAGATCGAGCACCTTCGTATATCACGTAGCAACAACTAGATAACATCTCGAGACTAAGATCGGAACGTACACAAAAATTCCAACCAAAACCCCTAGACCAAACAAACCACAAAGCAACGAAACAGAGATCCTAATAACTACTACTCACATAAACCTGCACAGAGTGGCTTTGAGATTAGAAAACACCTATACTGCAGAGGGCACGTAGAGGGAGTTTGGAGCTGTCGTTGAATATGGTGCAAGGTTATGGGGATCAGCGTCGTCTTTTTGTCTCCTAAACCTTATAGCGAACATCTTGTTAATGTTTATTGTAGTTGACTAGTTCAACAACAAATATACTTAAAATTCATTTTAGGAAATTTAATTTCAAAGTAAGCCACTTTGTAGTATTAAGTCACTTTAAAATGGTTTCATCACTTATATACACAAATTACTTCTAATGAAAAATTGTTGTTAATATTTATTGTCCACAACTCATGTCCAGGCGGAGTGTGTCCACCGTCTTTATGCATTTAACCATGTGCGCAAATCTATGTGTGATTGTATCAATTTCATGTCCATACCAATGTGTCCACTGCTTATTATCCATGTAAATGTGTCTATACTAGTTAGCTACTTGGTTTGTAAATAGTAGTAGTGTCTGTACTAGCTGCTATGGAAGGTAAACTTTCACTACTGATTGTCCACAACACATGTCTATGCAATTGTGTCCATAGTCCTTATGTATTTCACAATGTGTGGAAATCCATGGATGGTTGTATCAATTTGATGTACATACCACTGTGTCCACCGCTTGTTAGCTGTATATGTGTGTCCATGCTAGTCATCCCTTATAAATGTTAAGTGTCCGTGAAAACTTTTCATTCCCTACTTACAGACAAATGCTTGTCCACACTCACATATCCACAATTCTTCCATCGAACTTAAAAACTAACATTGTGGGAATGAGGTCTTATGGTGAATGTGGATGTGGATGTGGTTAAAAAAACGTGGATAGATATGTATGAGAATGGATTGAACAAATGAATAACATTAGAAGGAAAAAAGAATCCATACCGGTGACACAAGTCACAGTCTCTATCATTTCTTGATAATGAGCAATGGACAATGAATGCTGGATAATGAACCGTTAACCCGATCTAAAAAAGAGGACGAGATCTAAAGAAAGAGAACACAATATTCTCTATACACGGCAGTTCACCGGAATGAGGAGGATATCTTCACATCTTTGACATTTTATGTAAATATATGTGCTTCAAAATGATATAGAAGAGAGATGCGAAAATGGGAGGTTGTGTTCTTCAACTTTTTAAGATCTAGATAAGAGAAACGAAAATGAGAGGTTATGTTCTTCAGAAAAAAAAAATGTCAAACTAAAGGTTCTTTTTGTTACGGCGGTTATCAAAAAAAAAGATGAAAATATTTTTATTTTTTTAGTAATTGTAGAAGAAGATGAAACAACAAATATAAGAATATTTAGTTTTTTTCAAAACATAAAGTGATATAGTTTCCTTAAGTAACTTTTCTGATATTAAACATTACTAAAGTGACTTCTTCACTAATTTTTCTCTTTATTCATTCATCTAAATTTCTCAATAAGAATAGAAAGAGAGCATTAAGCAGCCTCTTTGATTACTATAATACATTACATAAAGCATAAAATAGATAGATCTTTATAGAGGACTTCAAAGAAAACTGACAGCAAATTCAAGCCAAAATTTAGATGTGTCAATGAAGATTTCTCCGCAAAACCAGAGAGATAAACTGTGACATCTCAAACCCATCCCTAAACCCAATTGATTCTTTTCTAATCCTAAAACCCATAACCTCATTTAAATCCTAAACCTAGTTGCTGATAACCCTCATCCCTCCCCTTTAAATAGTGGTCAACCAGAAACCTAGGAAGAACAGAAAAAGGCCCTAGCGAAGCTCTGCCAAATTTCCTGCAGCTCGGCCTCCAATACCTTCCCGAGCCGCCGTCTTTCGAGCTAGATTCCATTCGACTCCAATCGACCCGGATCCCGATAGTGTCATTGGAAAGATAATCCTTCTAGCTATCCAGCGCCTCTTGAATCGTCCGATTTGAAGGTATATTCTGAGAGATATGGCCATTTTAATCTGAGCGGATCTTTCTACTGATTTACAGAAATCTATTTTTTCCCAGTTTCGTAAAAGGAGTTGCGAATCCATTTCCCGGCAAACCAAATCGATCTAGCCACCATATAATTTATTTTTTGAATTCCTTAATTTAGAATGTTCTAATTTCTGGAAAGTTTCCATTTTAGGAAAGTTTTATTTTAGGAAAGTTCTGATTCCCGAAAGTCTACTTTTGGCAGCTTTCGACCGACAACTGCAGTTACCGTATCTACAACTTCTCAGTTCCAACCAAAAGGCAAAGGCGAGGCGGGACTTGTGGATCTATCAGTTCTGTTAGGATTAATAAAGCATGTGCATGCTGAACTTAGATATTAGAGTTTGATTGTTAATTAAAACGAACATGAATGATGATTGAGAACTTGTTTGATAGGTTTTCTATGAACTTGTGATTGCATGATGATTGATGTTTTCCTAATCGCTAGGTTGAGTAGATACATATGTGGTTATGATGAATGCTTCATATAGATCTAGTAGGCAGGCATGATCGTTTCACTGAGTAACTTGTTACTCACTCCTCTTTTATAAGTGACTTGAGTTAAAGTCGGAGTGGTGCTATTTCCGGAAACCATAAAAGAGCGATTTATTTTATTTAAAACTTTTAAAAGATATTCCAGTTATTTCTATTTATAAGTTTAAATTCTGATTTTAATTGTTATGACGCTTTTAGTTTCTGGTTCGGTTTTAACAAAGACATTTCAGTTATTTGCGTATTTAATAAGTTTATTTTTATTTTTGAAAAATGATTTAACATGTGAGAACTACTCTCGGCTTATATAGTGAGATTGGGGTCTCTCAAGTGCTATCAGAGCGTAAGGTTGCCAAGCCGGTTCTGTCCCGGAAGGCGGTCCTTTCAAAGTAAAATGTTTTCAACTATATTTGGGGTAATGGGGATTTTCAAAAAAAATAAAATAAAGCACCACCGACCTATGCTTGAGTTTGTGTTCTGCAGTGGTCTCTAAAGATTGAAGATCTGATTCAAGTGTTGTTTTTCAGAATGGCGAGACCTCGACGCAACAGTAATGGGAACGACAATCAGAACAGAAACGCAGTTAACCCAGTGAATGAAGTACCAGCTGTTGTGGAAGAGAATGTGCCATCAGGAGGCCCAGCGGCAGCAGTAGCGGCCCAAGCAGTGGATCCTGTGGCTATTGGCGCAGCAGTGGGAGCAGCTGTGATGCAAGATATCCAGCAGTTGCTTAGACCATTGTTGGAGCGACTTCCAGTAGTCGGAGCAGTTCTGGGAGTGGTTCAAGGTGCAGCTGCGGGGCAGTATCAAGTTCCCGAGAATGGTGCATACCAGGACTTGCCGCCTCCACCTCCAATGTCGATGCCACAACAAGCGCAGGGGTATGGTCTGCAGGTGCCCTCCTACTACGATGTGATGAGGATGATGAGAGAGTTGGGCATGGAGACTTTCGCTGGTGAGACCGATATGATCAAAGCAGACCGTCGGAGAAAGTTATTGGAACGCAGCTTCGCGTCGGCAAGGTTCCCAGTGGGGTACAAATCGGAAATGACAGTTCAGTACTTGCGGGATGAAGCTCACAAATGGTGGGAAGGATTGAATACCGAGCTGCAACAAGGGGATGTGTTACGCTGGAATGACTTCAGATATGAGTTCGACCGGAAGTATTATCCTCAGGAGGCTGAAGACAGGCTTGAAGCAGAGTTTCTAAAGTTGGAGCAGGGGAACTGTACTGTGAGGGATTATGCTCAGGAGTTCAATCGCCTTAAGAGATTTGCGGGGAGAGAGATGTCTGAGAACCGTTTGGTGAAGAAGTTCATGGGTGGACTGAGAGTAGACATTGTTGTCAGCTGCTGGACTACACATCAATGATTAATCTGGTTGAGAAGGCTGCCTTAGCCGAGAAGGGAATAAAGGATGAGGAGAAACTGGCAAGGAGTGCCCAAGCTAGAGCAGCAAGGATGGCGGAACCTCAGATGCAAATTCATGATAACCGCGGTGCTGTACAGGACGGGAGAGAACCACCTCAGTGTCACTTATGCGCAAGATTCCACCATGGACCATGTGAGGCGGATTCGGATTCGTGTTTCGGGTGTGGGAAGCAAGGCCATATCAGAAGGTACTGTCCTGATAAAGGAATCACTTGTGGCACATGTGGAAAGTTGGGGCATGCCGCTAAAAACTGCAGAGTCAGACTAGTGGGAGGAGTGCAACAAGGGACCCAAAATAGGGATCAATTGCCGCCACCTGCAAAGCGTCCAGCGTTGGAACCCCAAGTGTATGCAATGGAGGCGGAGTATGCAACTGAGGATGACAAGCCGGCCGATGGTAAGTCATATTAATATTTTAGTATTTCTGTTATGTGAACTAGAATGCTTAATTATTGTGTGCAAGTCCTTTGTGCTATCGAGTCGTTTAAAGTTAGAAAACCGTGAAAATTTGGAATCTGGGGGAAGGGTGATACCGAATACACTTTGTTCAACGTAGGAGCTACACATAGATTTGTATGCCCTAGATTGACAAGTGTTGGAAGTTTGGTCAACCATGAAGTAAGCGGGCAGGCGAAGTTGTGAAATCCAAGGCTATCAACTTCTAACAGGTAGCTCAAGAGATAGAATGTGCAACGGAAGCGTTGAGATGTCACGATCAGATAAGAAGAAAGAAGGCACTTCAGGATTAGTCGCAGACAAGTGGGGGAGAAGTTGAAAAGTCATTTCCTAAATTCGAGGACGGATTTTTTTTTTAAGTGGGAGAGTTTGTGACATCTCAAATCCATCCCTAAACCCAATTAATTCTTTTCTAATCCTAAAACTCATAAGCCCATTCAAATCCTAAACCTAGTTGCTGATAACCCTCATCCCTCCCTTTTAAATAGTGGTCGACCAGAAACCTAGGAAGGGCAGAAAAAGGCCCTAGCGAAGCTCTGCCAGATTTCTTGCAGCTCAGCCTTCAATAGCATCCCGAGCCGCCACCTTTCGAACTAGATTCCGTTCGAATCCGATCGACCCAGATCCAGATCTTGGTGTCATTGGAAAGATAATCCTTCTAGCTATCCAGCGCCTCTTGAATAGTCCAATTTGAAGGTATTTTCTGAGAGCTATGGCCATTTTAATCTGAGCGGATCTTTCTACTGATTTCCAGAAATCTGTTTTTTCCCAGTTCGTAGGAGTTGTAAATCCATTTACCGGCGAACCAAATCGATCTAGCAGCCTGTCAGCATACCGTTGGAAAGCCCATCCATACACCTTGCCGCGGCCGTTTCCTTATCTCCGATCTGAGGTAAATCAGAAAAGTTATGTTGATTGCTTGTCGGCCAAGAAATCACTTAATCTGGAAAATCTGAAAACTCTAGATCT